CTTTTTATGGCGGTTGTTTGTTGAAGATAATGTAGGCACATCTGTGATACTGGGGAGCGCTTTCATCCGGCCTCAACCTGTTTGTGGATATGGTGGGGAAATGCCTCAACGATATGTCACAGATGATCTTAGATTCCTTAGCTTCAACAGTGTTTTCCCATCTTTTACTTTATGCTCCTAAGGACAGTCGTTTGCACTTCCCATGACCACATGCCCCTGATGTGTGTCACTGGGATCGAAATCAATTTGAACCTTGCGCCAACATCGCTATCACCGTTCACAAAACGTGATTATTAGTCAGAACCAGAAACTTAACGCATTGTCTGTAGGAAGATATTTTGTGAAGATAGCTCCAGAAGTCTTATATGAACGAGAATGACATTGCAATGAATCTGAAACAGCACAGTTTTCACGTGACCCAAGAAGATAGGTAGAATGAAGCTCATAATTGCTTAACGGCGGCAATAAACGGAGTAATTACATCGTCTTGAGGAACAAACGTAATGCCAATGCAACAACAAGGAAATTCCAAACGACGGAGTTGGTTACCAATGAATTAAAAGGGTTGGATAAAAAGACCGAGATTTTTATGTTTACAGTGTAAACCGCTTTGTGCAGTTTATAAAAGGTACTGACGCAAAACAGGCTTGCATCTATGCAGCCGATGTTTCCTACTTAAGTGCCTACTTAATTTTCGAGTAACCTCTTGGAAGTTGTGGTCCGGCAGGTTCTGTCTTTGAACGCCAACTTTTTATTTTAGTTGAGCAACTGGCTCGGTGTTCGTCTTGTGTTTCACTGTGGCTAACAAAAAACGATTAATGTAAATTCATCCAGAGAATCACGTAAATGGTCTGGTTCAATCCAGTTGAAACAACCGTTAAACTTGCAATTCGGCTGGGTCGTTTTCGTCGCCGTCTTTTGGCTAAACATGTTGATGAAGGAGGGGAGAACGAAAAAGCGAAGCTAAGGAATGCAGTTAAACTAAATTCGCGAAGAAACTGAATAGATTCATGAGTACTAGTGTTAAGGACAATCTTATCACTCATAGCCTCTAATCCTCGGTTATCCTGAGCGTGAAGTCCTTAACTGAGAAAACTAATGTAATACCTGTATGTCCAAGCCCCTAGTCGGGGTTTTCATACCTTTATGCTAGTTTCACCACTCAGCCTTCATCCACCCACTACCTACCTCGAATTAGCATCGCACGATAGGGGAGCCTATCTGGTGACGTGCGTAACACGTGTCATCTTACTACTGAATTAGAGTAATACTGTTAACGGTCGTGATTACCTTAAACTTTTCGCGCCACCTCGGGATCACTTGTCTGACTCCATCACCAGATTCGTGCAATGCGGCGTAGACAGCGGTGATCAAGCACCGACAGTTTATTCTTATTCTATTCCCGTAATGGCCAAGTTTCTGCGTCGTGTAACAGCACCGGCAGAACCACCGAAGCGCATAGTTGATTCTTTACAGACAGTCGGATTTAGAGGAGCCACAAATGTCTCAAGTTGGTAAACACAAGTCGAGTGTCCTGTATTTATGCTAACACTTCATCGGTAATGCGTCCGCCAGTTGCGATATAGCCTACAGATATAGCAAACTTTGTCTACTCCCACAGATAGAGTGATACTGGGGGTTAGGCGAATCCATTTCTGTAGCAAGATTTTACAGTTTGAAGACATGCCGAATATGGCTACACTAGCAAACAAACCGTCCAGAAAAGCTTGCAACTTATAACCACAATGTTGTCTACATACTCCAGATCAAATAGCCTGCCACCCGGGAGCAAATTGCTGCCACTATGTTCGCATGAAGATGACCGTCTCCAGACTCCTTAATCACTTCACTTATGTCTTATTCCGTAGATGAGCTGATGCTTAAGGGATAGGTGCGTAGAGTCATTCGGCATCAGAAAGAATAGCTTTTCGAGCGTACAAACGATTGCCAGAGGGATTCCATCGTTTGTGCTTTGGTCGTGTACCGGATTTAATCGTTGCCTTGACACGGATTTATTTTCACACGCTTGAGTTCAGACTGTGTCAAACAAATCTTTATAAGAAGAAAAAAGGTCCATGACCTGCTCCAGGGTGCGATGCTGTTAGGTTGCTCAGGCCAAAGCAGGACCATTCTCTCATGAATTTCACAACCGAAGCCTTCGGCTACCCAAAGCCTGATCCGCAAGGCAGCGGGGCGGCATGTGAAAACCGCAATTTGTTGGGTGCCGGTTTCCAGTTCATCGGAGCATACTCCCATTGGACGGGTTCAAACGTCCAAGGTGCTCAATACCTCGATACCCAATCGAGCCGGTGATGACTCATGGCCAGGAAGGTGTATTTGGTTCGTGCGGCTCTTCTTGGTTGTTTTTGAATCAGGAGTTTTAGCCAACTCCTCTAGGTGAACTGTCAGTGGTTCACCGACCAGGTTATAGCCTCCTATATTGGCTTTTTATCCTCTCACTTTGATGGGACAACCCCACCACGAGAAGGCAGTGATTAGAGCTTCCTCAGCAAAGCAACTTGAGACGCTTGGTCGTATAGGAGCAGTTCTCGAGTTGCAAGGGAGGGCTGACCAGCCGCAACTCAAGACTCTCCCGACCACACTGAGGCTTTGGGACTCGTTGCTTTGACAGAAGTTTGATATGTTTCGGTCAGCTTCCAATGTTCATTGAGTCCCTCAACGAGTGATTGAATTGAGGGAGCTCCGATTTGCCGTTGTGCTGTATATCGCACTTGAGTGCTAGTGTTGCTATGTTCAACATCTGTCGCATCTCTACGGTGTAGAACGCTTCACTATTGGGTTGCCTTGTCTCTCAATTTCGTTCCAGCTGGCAAACAAATGGCAGATAAAGTGTCGAAACATTCCAATTTCGATTCGTATTCGACAACTTGAGGTAGTTGCTGTCATGAGGTACTACTCACTTGTGAGTAGT